CTCAAAACTGCTCGACTGAAATCAATTGCTTGTTTGAGCACAGGAACTTTCTCTACATCTCTACATTCACATTAATAAGATGGCAACTGGAGTGGTATTAACTTTATATAAACTCCATGAATTTTACAAACTAAAGAGCCATGCGTGGCACCAAATTAAAGAGTAAAAAGATGTTGCTAACATTTTTCTATTAAATGGCCACCATTAGATTAGAACTTGCATTTTAAAATCTGTATTTATTCATCTATAGCTATTATTAAAAGAACTGCTTAAAAGGAACCACTTAGGCTGATATTTTTCACTCTTGGTCCTAGTCCAGAAAAGATAACACAAACTCAGCTGTTTTAATTACAGGGAGAGGTACAAAATTAAGCACAACATTTACTTCTTAGAACCCCCCACATAAAATACTAAGACTTTAACAACCACTCCTACCTTACCTGAGGGATGCATTACAGAAGCTATTCAAAGAAAAGATATACAGCTAGCCTAAGGTTTTCCAGGAAGGAAGAGGCTCCTTCATTCCTATACTCCCTATTGTGAATCCTATCAAACTGTCAATGGAGTTCTTGGTTTTATTTGTTGGGGTTTCTTAAAAAACACTCTATACAGGGAGACAGCTTAAATCCTCTCCTGTAGTTGCTCTCATCTACGACTCGGTTAACAGTTTTCCAGTAGCAACTGTATAGTACATCTGTCCACGGGAGCACCGAATGCTTGGTCAGGTTCCTCAAATGATGATGAAGTTGCATTTGCTTAGCATCTTCAGCTTGGTTTTGAGACTACAACTTCTTAGCACAAAATGCTACGGCTGCTGTTGAAAGCTGATGTCAAAGACATCATTTCGGCTCCTTACGCACCACAGCTGAAATCTGAGCACCGAGAGAAATGAGAAGTAACAAGAAAACACATTTGAGAAAGGATGACATGCAGGACAGACATCTTCAAACAAAACAAGCAATTAGAGACCCAGTACACTAAATTACCCTTCCCTTATTTGAAATCTAATATCCAGGCTTTTCAACGCACTTGTGGGCAAGAAACTGTACACATGAAAGACGTGGGGTTTCTCACTTTGAGTATCATTCTTTGACTGCGCAAACAAGTGAAACCAGAAGACACGCTGCTGGCTCAAGACAACTCAGAAATGGCTCTCAAGAAAGAAACAGTGACAACAGCCCTTTGTTTGAGGAACACAAAGTTAATGTGTTTATGAATATTCATCTGGCACAATCAGCAATATATGCAGTGAAGCTCACATTCCTACGTTGAATGGGCAGTTCCATTTTCCTGGGAACACGCTCACTGCCAAAATGCCAGCATACATGCTGCAGCATCTCTCCCACGCCTGCCAAGTAAAAAGGGAGAATGGCTATGACTACACAAATTAACCTGCTATTCATGTAAGTGGGCTGAATCTTTTAAACCAGTTTTTGTTCTTTCTCAAGAAAACATAATTTGTTTTCTTCGCCTTGCAGACAATTTATGCGCTGCCCAAGTCTACCTCACTAGACAAGAGTACTGCTAACACTTTTCACAAGAAACTGACTGGATTGTACTTTGGCTTGATATCTAAGACTATCTTCCCATTCAAGTCTGCCCTCAAAACCGTACGGCATCATGAAATACTCTCATATGATTGTCTTGAGCACAGCAGCAGATGTAGGCCATATTTCCATTTCCATTCTACACGTCTGTGAAACAAAAAGACATTGTATCCAAGGGCCACCAAAACTAAGGACCACCAGACTACAGGTCTGTAGTGTGGCAAGGAACCAAAAATGACTGCAGGAACACAAACAAGCCTTTTCAAAAAGCTGCAGGCAAGGATGCTTTTCTCAGGTTAGTTTGCTCCTGACAACATCATTTTTAATGGCAATTTTGGCAATATGACAATCCCTACCCCCTGCCTCGAGTCAAAAGCCATCTTTTTGATGTTCATACATGAAGATGCAAGCATTTCTAACACTTCTGGTTTCTGCCATCTAATACTGATCATTCATTTAATCTGATTCGATGCAGTGCGATTCACAGCAGTAAAGGCTTGTTTCACACACAATTAAGCAATGTTCCCCCAGCAAAACTGACAGATAAATGCCTACAGCACTGGATGATTTGCAGTTTGTGGGTTTTTTTTTTTCCTTTTAAGTACTGTGGATGAGATAAATGGCCAGTCTGAGCCTTCTCTTTAAAAAACAGACTGTCAATATTAACAGATCATGCAGTTGAACCATACAGACTTTAAGAAACACTAGCAATTGAACATACTTAGTAAGAAAAGAGTTAGAAAACGCAATTTCTCAATTTCCATTTTCCACATCTATTTCTGATCTTTTCTATAGACAGAATATAGAGGAGGCAGATTTGTTTTCTACTTAAGTGTTTGAGAAACTACTGCAAATACGGAAATTATATTTCAGGGAATCAACTACTTTCAAATTAACGAGAGCTATTTTGAGTTTCATTTCTATGCTACAAGAGATGAGACATGAATTGTGAAGAAGGCTCACTATTCCTCATTTGGTTCACAAGTCAGGCAATGCCCACACAAACACTGTAATAAGAAGGGGATGCTTCAGGTGGATGGAGTATAGAGCCTGGCCTCCCTAAAGTACATTACTAAAGTCTAATCACAACTTCATCAGAGACCTGATTTACTATGTTTACACAAAAACAGCCACAGATGATGTTGTCTAAAGTTCTATTTTACTGACATAACTGTTCAGTTACAATACAGCACTATATAAAGGTAATGCAACTATCAGTGTACCTTGGAAGGAAAGCAATATGTATCTACAGAACAATCTGGGATAAAATTACCTTAAGGTACAAACATCAAGAACTGCTGTGAGGTGGTGCCCAGCACATAACTCTGCCCAGTCAGAAGCTCAATTTTACCAGTCCCTCAAAGCACGACTTGGATGCATTTTGGTACCACCCTGTCTACATGCAGAGCTCACAAGGTAAATGTGACAACCCACTTAAGCTTCATGCTTTTACTCCTGTAATCAGGAGGAATACTGGAAGTTACACAACTGCTTCCAAAAGACAATTAAGGAAGTTCAGAAGTTTGCAGCAAGGCATCTGTATTTATCAGGTTAATGTTTCGGAAAGAGCTGGGGCAGGAAATGACAGGCTCCTCACCACTGGATGGGTAAACTCCACATAGTCACAGCAGCAAACTCGAAGGTAAAGGGCAGACAGAAAAGAAGAAAGGTAAAGGCAAGGAAGGAACAGATTGACCACAGCAGAGACCATATTTTTAAGAACAGATGGCAACCAACAGCGAGGTGATACCAGGCACTCAATTCCCAGAGATTTGGCAGTCCTCAAAATGGCAGAATGGCTTTTACGGTAACCTGACTCCAATGCATATTTTTTCAAGGAAACAATAGCTGCAAAGATATTTTCATACACTGCACCGACTGGTCTGAGAGCTGACAAGACAGAAGGCTGAGAAGTTATAAGGATCAATATGAGTCAAGAAAGCTTTCTGGCATTGCACAGTAAAGACCCTAAATCTGCAGGTCCTGGGGGTCACGCAGCAACCATGCAGATTCCCTACCAACACCAGTGACTGCTCAGTGCAGTCATATTCATGATATAAAAAATATTGTTCATAAGAAGAAAATAATACAGACATACACACATACATATCTCAAGAAACAACAGAGGAGTAAAACCCCGAGCCCTCTGGAGTGTTCAAGAGCCTACATATGCTATCAGCATTGGATTAAATTTGGAGCCAATTGCTTTTAGACAGATGGAATTTAAGCAAGAAATCATGGTAATTTAGCTCTACCACTTCTGTTTGATTTAAAATAGAAACAACACAAGCAAACCAGTGTGTATTTACTCAGAGAAAGACGGATTCTCACTTAACTTCAAACAAACAGAAAAATTACATACAGCTTGTGAATTCAACTGTTTCTGGTCAAGACAAAAAACAACAAACACAAGCAAAAGAACGCCAAGAGATCCTTTTTTCTCTTCTCTCTAAATAAACAGAGGGTGCAACATGACAAAAACCTGCTTTTCAGATCTCGGTCATTTCCTAAAGGCATTACTGAGATTATTCTATCCAAAATGAAAATATTTCACCTGCACAAAAAAGCTGTTTTGTCACAGAGCAGCTCAGTGCCTCAGTGCATTGACTGTCAGTGCTTAAAAGTACTTTGCAGTGTCTTTTGCTGAAGAGATACGTAATAGGCTGAGCACTTGATTTTAAATGACTTTCAGAGTGCCTAAAGCAAGGCAGAAACACTAGTGCCTAATGCAAATATACTTTTATTCATGTTAAAGAGAGATGTATTTAATTTGAAAGCATATGCCTGTGTATCCACCCTACCTCGTACATCTGAATGACTCAGCACTTACCCACCAAAGCAGCCGTCACTATTTTAAACCACAACATAATGGGCTATGTCCATTACCAATAAAACGTTTCCAAATAAAGCATCTTGGGAAAATCACCATACACTGCAAGCTTCACAGACCTCAACACAACAGGAAATGTGTTCACTTCTGTTTTCTGCAGCCACCCTAATTTTTTTTTTCCAGCACACAAAATCCAAACTTCTGATCAGCTCAAGAATTAGGCAAATTTAATTCTCAATTACCAGAAGCTCCACATGGCAAATAATGCAGAGAAACTGGTCAGACATCAATTGCAAGACCACCAGGCAATCCGTGCTCAGTCTCTCTATAACTGAAACAGCCTGAAGTGAGGATCATTTCCTTACACATCCAGTAAGGAGGGTGCTAGAAATGCCCCGGGATGTAGGTAGCCCCAAAGCAAAGAGCTGATGGTCCGATGACAAGCAATTTAATCTCATCTAAATGTACTATTACTCAGCAAGCAATGTTCCCTGCTTTTCACCCAATGTCTACCATGCAGGGAATACATCAGCCCACCCATGTTTTCATGATGTGTGAACCAGAAACTTCCAAACGACCAAGACTTACAAAGAAATTTGTTGGTGTTGCTGGAGTAAAGATCTAGCACCAGGTTTTCAACATAAAGCCCAAGTGACCAAGTGTCACCAAAATGCAGTAAGATCAAAGAAAAGTATCAGGATAATAAAATACATGGTAGCAAAGTAATTTCTTATTAGTAAGTTCCCCAACCCACAGCTAAAGTTTCTTTACTAAAATACTAAGGTGCATGAGTTGTACTTCAAGCAGCTTGAAAAGTGGGATTTACAACCCAAAACCAAAGTAATGTTTGTGTCAGACAAAACTCACGTAACGCGCTCCAAGATGGTATCGTGCTGTATTACAGCCCTCTTGCCACCTGTGACAAGGTGTGTCTAACCTACGTAAGGAAACTTTTGCAAGACAAAGATTGCATTAAATTGTTGTCTCAATTATTCTTTCAACAGCTGATGTTCAGAAGGCAGCCTTGTTTCTAGGCAGAAGCATTTAAAGCACATATGTGCTAAAGCAAACTTTAAAAGCGGCCACTTCATTCAGTTTTGGAACTTTAGAGGAAACAACCAAGGACTACCACAGAGTCAGGAATTGGGGGTATTTGGATTCCCAAATTCAAAGCGCAGTAATGCAGCACACTACCACGGGATGTATCAGAAGAACTGGCCAAACCTGTACAGCTGCAAGGATTTGTAGTTCTCACAGGCAGCAGAAAACTGTACAGGCTGCACCAGCTCAGCAGAACCAAGGCTTTATTTTAAATACTACATCTATCTGCTCTAACGAATTTTTACAGAACAGTGAGGCTCATACCATGAGCAATAAAGAAACTGTAAAAGAGAAAAGCAGCAAAGAACCTAGCTCAAGACAACCTCAATATTTTATGGTCAAAGACTTCCCCAGAGACAGTGCCCATGAATTGCAGGGTGGTTATTTTTCTTTAGAAGGAAAGCACAAGAGGAAAAGAATGAAATGAGAAGGACATCGGAGCAATCACAGTGCTATATATTTTGATGCGAATCCACGTTTAGCCAGAAGTACCTGATGCAGTTAAAAGCAGTAAGGCTGCTTTTGGCTGACAGAAATTAGTTACCAATTGTTAGAAGCACTGAGGGAGCTGCTGGAGTTTAGGGATTCATTGCATTTTACATCTCAACTTGATGCACTGCAAGTCAGTCCACAACTCACACATCAGTTACAGAAGTGACAAAAGCTGCAGGGAAATAAACGTTGCTGCTACAGCAAGGACGATTTCAGGAACATGCCTGGAGGTTCTAGTCTAAAAGGAATTCTCAACAAGGAACACACATGAAAACAAACATGGACGCACAAATAAGATGCGGAGAAAGATAGGGATATACAAACTGTATAAGGACTGCTGTAAACCACTGACATCTAGAGATAGGCAAGAAAAATGCAGAATAAACTGTAGCACAAAACATTCATATGCGGTAATTTCTAATTTATACTTCACAATTCATATTTAACATACCTCATGTTTTTTCCTTTAGATTTTCCCTTTTGTGCTCTTTGTGATGCACAAAGACCATGAACACTTCATTCAGATTAAGAGAGCAATGGCAGGCATCCATGCCACGTGCTCAGATCATGTTTGACTGAAACATTTACAGCCTAGATTATACTGTAGAGTTCCCATCCTCTAGTCTTTGATTCTCTATTATATATTAATTTTAGCCACTGCTCTCCACATGGTTCAGATCTCTAAGGCTAGTCAGTGCCATGCAATTGGATCGAAAAGTTGGTATTTTGTCTGACAGCCAGTTAGTGAATGAAGTAATCCACAATTTAGTAAGCCAGTGTAAATCAGTCTTAATGGCAATCCCCTCCATGGGCCATCTACATGCTGCTCTGATATAATCACAGATCCCAGGAAAGACAGAATTAGATTGTGCAGCTTCTTACCTGCAGCTCCTTTGAGACTCTCTCTAAGTGGTTAGTTATCTTTTTTATTAGGTCACTATACATCTGTTCCGAATGCTGCTGGCATACACACTTATACACACAACTGCAGAAACAAATATAGGAACAAACAATGAACTTACAACAGTTTGCAATGAAGGGTAACAGACTTCAAAATACTTTGTTCAAGTCTCAATTTAGAGGGTACTAGAGTTAACTGAACAATTGCTGAACTTTTAAACACAGCCTTAAATTCGGAATGAGCTCCAGCAGACTCTTAAGTCTCCTCTGGAGGCCCCAGTGTGTCCATCCCACTCCCCCACCCCAACCTCACGTTATCTTACAATGAGGTCTCTTAACAGTGCACTTCAGAACAGCCAGGATAATTCTGTCAACAGCACACTACTCATTCTGGGGTTTCTCTCTCCTATGTGAATGAGGTCTCCATTAAAATAAGCAGGTTTAATGACTATATGCATATTCTAGGGCAAAATCCTTATTAAGAGAAGGGCAACACTGACAAGCAGTCATAGAAGCTTCACCCAAACCATGCTAGCATTTTAAAAAGAAATAGCATAAGTTCTAAAATCACAGACCCAAGATCATTACTCCATTCGTTGTTATTTAAATTCTAATAAAAGCCTACATTTTCATAACAAAGATGCAGAGAAAGAACAACAAAAATGTAATTCTACATTCCATGGCTTGGCTGTGTTAACTGTGGTCTTCAGTGCTTTAGTGTTTATAAACATTTTATTGTTCTCATACGGTAATATAACATCTGTAAAATAAGGCTATGTATTGAAATGTATTTACAACAGCTGTAAAATAAATACATGTATTACTTTCATCATGAAGTTACAATAAGGTAGCTGTCATTGCCAGGACTAACACCAACAAGCAGCTTTTATATCTCTTGAGTGCTTTCATAAAATTGTTTAGCTTGGAAAAGGCCCTTAAAATCACCAAGTCGCACCGTTAACCTAGCACTACCAAATCCACCACTAAATCATACCCATAAGCACCTCATCTGCACATCTTTTAAATACCTTCACAGACGGTGACTCTACGGCTTCAATGCTTGACCACTTCCTTCAGTGAAAAAAGTTTTCCTAATATCCAATCTAAACCTCCCCATGTAAAACTCGAGGCTGTTTCCTCTCATCCTATCACTTGCTACTTGGGAACAGAGACCAACACTCATCTCACTACAACCTGCTTAGCTGTAGAGAGCAATAAGGTCTCCCCTCAGCCTCCTTTTCTCCAGACTAAACAACCCCAGTTCCCTCAGCCGCTTTCAGTAGGACTTGTGCGTCAGACCCTTCACCAGCTTCGTTGCCTTTCTCTGGACACACTCCAGCCCCTCAGTGTCTTTGTTGTAGTGAGGGGCCCAAAACTGAACACAGGATTTGAGGTGCAGCCTCACCAGTACAGAGGCATGATCACTTCCCTGGTCCTGCTGGCCTCACTATTTCTGATACAAGCCAGGATGCCATAGGCCTTGTTGGCCACCTGTGCACACTGCTGGCTTGTATTCAACTGGCTGCTGACCAACATCCCAGGTCCTTTTCCACCAGGCAGCTTTCCAGCCACTCGTCCTCAAACCTGTAATACTGCACAGGGTCGTTGCGATCCAAGCGCAGGACCCAGCACTTGGCCTTGTTGAACCTCATGCAATTGGCCCCATCCATCGATCCAGCCTGTCCAGGACTCTCTGCAGAGCCTTCCTACCCTCAAGAAGATCAACAACCCAACTTAGTGTCATCTACAAACCTACTGAGGGTGCACCCGATCACCTTGTCCAGATCATTGATAAAGGTGTTAAACAGAACTGGCCCCAACACTAAGCCCAAGGGAACATCACTTGTGACTGGTCTCCAACTGCATCCATCGATCCAGCCTGTCCAGGACTCTCTGCAGAGCCTTCCTACCCTCAAGAAGATCAACAACCCAACTTAGTGTCATCTACAAACCTACTGAGGGTGCACCCGATCACCTTGTCCAGATCATTGATAAAGGTGTTAAACAGAACTGGCCCCAACACTAAGCCCAAGGGAACATCACTTGTGACTGGTCTCCAACTGGATTTAACCCCATTCACCACAACTCTTTGGGTCCAGCCATTCAGCCAGTTTTTTTTACCTAGCAAAGAGCACATCCATGAAGCAACCAGTTTCTCCAGCAGAATGCTATGGGAAAAAGTGTCGAAGGCTTTGGTAAAGTCTAGGTACACAACATCCACAGCCTTTCCCTCATCCACTAAGCAGGTCACTTTCTTACAGAAGGAGACCAGGTTAATCAAGCAGGACCTGCCTTTCGCTTTCTTACAGAAGAAGACCAGGTTAATCAAGCAGGACCTGCCTTTCATAAACCCATGCTGATCACCTGGTTGTCCTGTACATGCTGCGTGATGGCACTCAAGAAGATCTGCTCCATAACCTCCCCCAGCACCAACGTTGGACAGACATGCCTGTAGTTCCCTGGCTCCTGCTTCCAGTGCTTATAGTACACAGGCATCGCATTTGCTGACCTCCAGTCAACTGGGACCTCCCCACTCAGCCAGCACTGCTGATAAATGATTGCAAGTGGCTTGTTGAGCATTTCTGTCAGCTCCCTCAGGACACCTGGGTGGATCCCATCCATCTCCATAGACCTATGTGTGTTTAAGTGGTGTAGCAGGTCACTAACCATGTCCCCTTGGATTATCCCCTTCATTCTGCTCCTCATCCCCACCTTTCAGCTAAGGGTGCTGGGTACCCCGAGAACAACTGGTCTTACTATTGAAGGCTGAGGCAAAGGCGGCATTAAGTACCTCAGAATGGTCTTACTATTGAAGGCTGAGGCAAAGAAGGCATTAAGTACCTCAGTCTTTTCCTCATCATTTGTCACTATGTTCCCCCCTGCATCCAATAAAGGACGAAAATTTTCCTTAATTCTCCTTTAGTTGCTAATGTATATATAGAAACATTTTTTATTGTCTGTAAAGGACGAAAATTTTCCTTAACTCTCCTTTAGTTGTTAATGTATATATAGAAACATTTTTTATTGTCTTTTATGGCAGTAGGCAGAGGAAGTTCTAGTTGGGCTTTGGCCCTTCTCATTTTCTCCCTGCATAACCTCACAACATCCTTCTAGTCCTCCTAAGTTGCCTGGCCCTTCTTCCAAAGGTCATAAACTCTTTTCCCCTGACTTCCAGCAAAAGCTCTCTGCCCAGCCAGGCTGTTTTTCTTTGCTGCCAGCTTGTATTTTGGCATACGGGGACAACCTGCTCCTTTAAGATATCCTTCTTGAAGAATGTCCAGCACTCCTGGACTCCCTTGCCCTTCAGGGCTGCTTCCCAAAGTACTCTGTCAACCAGTCTCTGAACAGCCCAGCATCTACCTGATAAAACTCCACCTGATATCTCGGGCAAGCCAAATCTCCTCCCCATGTCTCTGTTCTGCTCCTCTCTCCTTCCATCCCTCTGCACACAGTACTGTGACAGTGAGCAGCTCAGGCCAGAGACTGCTCCCTAGGACATCTGCAAACAAACTATTTCCAGCAAGGTCCAGATCCCAGACTTGAATTCTGCAAGTTTTTAACAGCACTGAAAGTCTGAAGCTATGGTTCAGCAACACTGTGTCTCCACAGGGGAATCGTGACATTCTAATTCTCTACTGAGAGGGTGGTACAATGACAAACAAACTGCAGAGATGGGATTAAAACAACCATAGACATTGGGCTACTGGAATTTTCTAATGCAAGTGAGAGGTTAGGCACCAATTCCAAGCCTTCAGGGGCCAAGACAGCACTCTCATTCAATAACTTCCACTCTCAAAGTCATCTGGAGGAAGGTTTTACAAGTGAATTATCAGTCACTTTTAGAAGTTTGTATTTATTCCCTTTGACAACTCCGAAAGCCCCAAAACTACAGTGCTCATCCCTATGCAATGTCTGCTCATTTGGCAAACTATGCTATTTCTTAAAAATCAAGACACTCCACACCTCTCCTACTATTATATTGTAAAAATAATTGAGTACGTATAGCTTGGTATTATTTAAATAACAGCCCAAGTCATCGTGTTCCTCTCACATGAAGCCTACCAATAGCAGATCCTGTCTTGGAACAAGAAAATGCTAAAGACATTTTGGTATGCTGCAGTAACAGCAAAAAATTCAGTTTAATCTGGATTAAAGAGAGAAACACTGTTAAGAAAAGCCAGACTGATTTTTGTGATCTCTCACAAACCAGCTAGCTAGGTAATAACAGCAGATGGTCGTGTGTTTGTTTGCTTCACAACTAACCAGGATACTGACACCACCACAATTTGACCACTTCATTTGCAATGATGTACTTTAAAATTCAGTTTAATTACAAGTCTGCTTACTGTTACATCCAATATTGCTATACCTACATCTGCACCACGTTCTGTAGTCAAACACCAGCCTTTGTATGTACGTGCAGACTGTGTTTACATTTTATCTGAACACTTCTATTTAGAGGTCCCTTCCCCATTTTCAGATCCCGTTTTCAGTTCCTGATTGCAGGCTGATTCTGTGAATCATCCTTGCCCTGCTATTACCCAAAAAGTCACCAGCTTCTTGGTCTGTTAGCATAACCCAGCACCTCAGGAGAAGGAATACCCAAGCAGCACATCAGAAGGTGAGAGAGATGAAGATCTGACATGCATAACTCATCTTGAAGAACAGCCATCTAATTGCATTGGACCCGGGAGGCAGTTGTAACAGTTACTAGAAGTACAACTCAGCTGTTCACATTTTCCTCATCTCAAGGTTTCCTTCACATCTCTCTGTCCATCTACTTAACCCTTTTAATAGGAAGTGATTATGCACAGGCAGGCTTTGGACTCAAAAACAGTCACTAATCACGCTTTGATACCTTAAGGGTAAACTGATACACAGTAAATATCTGCGTACACACCTCTGAAGTTAGTGTCCTAGCATTCACTGCTGTGGAGTAGCCACCTACAGTTATCACTGATCATGCCCAATACAGTAGTTTGGGTATCTAGTAATATATTTTGAGTTTGCATTATGGAAACCTTGATTCCTTCAGTCAGCACTGTCATGGTTTAGACAGTTGTTCTATCACCCGACGACTCCTCTCCAGCCAGAGAGGGGAATGAGGAAAAGAGACCCGTGGATTGAAATAAAAACAAATTTAATAATAAGAAGAAATAACAGTATTAAGATAAAGTACACAGCTATACTCAGCTGATATACTGAGGGAGGCCTCAGGAGTAAGATAGCATCCTCTTGGGATGTCAGCCATGGAAGGAGAAGACGTGTCCCTAGCAAACTCCCTCATTTATAGTGAGTGTGATCTTTATGGTGCAGAATAATTTTCATTGCTTGGGGTCAACTGCCCTGGGAATCCGCTTATCCCAGCTTCTGCCCTAGTCTATCCCAAGATCTTGATCATCATATACCAGTGCTGGCCAAAAAGTAAAACATCTAATAGTAAAAAGCATCTTACCACTTTGTTACCATGAGATCAAGTGTTGTGGTCCTTAGAGAAATGTAGCTTTCCTGAACAGAAAACTGATCTTATGATTCTATCCCAATAAACTAGGGCAAGCACAAACATGATCAAAAAGACTACTTTATTTTCAGCTCAGTTTTAGTGGGGGGGAACAACCCACACACAAAACACCCCCATATGTAGCTGTTCAAAGCACCTCAAAAAACACCCAATTCTTCAGACTAAAGAACTAGCCTAGAGAAACAGAGAGGATCCAAACCCCAAGAGTGCTACAGACTCTCCATTATACTCCAAGCAAGCACCCTCATTAAATTCAGTTTTAAAAAATCAGTCTTCCTTCCCCTGTCAATCTAACTTGTCTAGCAAAGGTACACTCTAAAATAATTTTTTAAAAAATAATAATCAATTTCGTAGCTGGAAGAGGCTGTGTCAGAGTAATTAGTACCACAGACATCATTTTTAAAAGAAAATGACACACTAGCTTTAGCAGTAATGCTAAGCTACAGAAGATCTTTTGTTTTGGTAATAGTAAAACACATGCAACAGACACCTGTGCATCACTACAATGCTGCCTCAAGTGTCACCCTGCTGCATAAGGGTTACCTAGGAGAAACTTAAAACCCATTAGCCCTTCAATAAATAAAACTTTTGAGGAGTAAAGAGGTGACAGGGATAAACTCCTGTTATCTGAAAACCAGAACTAGGTACAGATCTACTCTGGGTATTAAAGCATTAATTCTGTACACCTGCTCTTTATCAGAGTTGGCTTAACTCTCACTGACAGCTGTTTGCACATCGGGGATTTCAAGCTGGGGAAAGGATTTTTATTACTAACACTGAAGTCTGCAAAATGTCTCCCCAATCAAATGATCACCTCAATTATTTACACACACGATCATGTCTGAGTCCTGATAATAGCAGCTCCAAAAGTTTGGAGAGGAAAGAGGAAGTTATTAGTAAGTTTTTAACTGGAATTAAGAGGGAAGACAGAACACCTGCTGTTCTTCTATCTGGTTACCTAACTCGGAATTTCAAACTGGAGACAAAGTAGCCAAAAGCTTGGGGGCAGGGGACAACACAGCTGAAAGCCTCTGATGAGAGGCAGTGACTGAGCTGCCTATGTTATTTCTCAGGTTGCAACATGATCATAAAGAAAACCAAAACAGCAGTGCTACTAGTTGTGTTGCTGGCAAGGGCAAGTAGTTTTAACAGTATCTTGGGTAGTAAATGCAGTAGCGGCTACTGGATTTCCACCCTATTTACCTACCCCTGGGATACCCATCACCTACAGAACAGGTATCTCCATTTTCATCAATCTCCTAAGAAACTGCCAGGTCTCTCACATAGTCAGCATTTTGGTTTAGAGTAGCAGTGTGGTTTTGAAGCAAATCCCCTACCACCCCCACTACTAACATTTAACTTTAAAAAAAAAAAAGTAACATAGTACTTAAAAGATTTCCTTACCTGTATATTTGTTCATAGGAGATAGGGATGTAGTCACCAGGACTCTGAGTTAATAGTTGATCTATGGCACTGTCCAACTTTGGCCAATATGTGCTCTTATAGTCTTCAATGGTTATAACATTCATTACTACAAGAAAAAGACAAAACTACATTTAGTAACATTATCTAAGAGACTGGAAGCAAATGAATGCTCTGTAATTACAGATCACACTGATAAACTGGCCAAAACCCAAAACGGGAACAGTTCACTTCTGCTACGATAACCTCACCTAAAACCAAAGCCCAGACCTGTAGCTTTTCACGTACAGAAAATAAATCAGAAAACCTGACAAAGCAGTGCTTGGACATTTTCTAAAGGGTCTCAGCAGCAGTGAAAAGCAAACTCCTGGGAGTTCTAGCATGACAATCTAGTAATAATAATAAAAACCCAGTAGTTCAGTCATTAGCTCAGTTATGCAACTTTGTGGGAGTCCAGAATCAACAATCAACACTGGGTCCTCACATGCAGGAGAACAGACCAAGGCTGGTACTTTTTAAAATATCCCTTCTCAGCAGATGTATTCATTTTATAAAAGTCTCAGATGGGACCAGCAGCTTCCTCAGTGTAAGAGCTGATGCAATTCTCTCTGCCTTCAACTGCAGTTAGGCTGCCAGGCAACCTTTTTTGGATCAGTATTACAGTTCCCCCTCTAGCAGGCACAGTAATATTCCTTTTCTAAATAAGAATCAACACAGGGAAGAACAGGAGGCATTTAAGTTAGCATTCCCCATCACCCCCTGATTATCCTCCTGAGCTTCCCAGCTGCACCCTCTTGCTCAAGCCACAGAAGAGTTTTAATCTCTCTTTCCAGGGAGGATTTCTGAACTAACCACATGTGGCTTGGCTCCAAAAGCAGCCACAGTAGATGGGTAAACACCTTCCCTCCAGAGACAGACTCACAGCACTACCTCGCTGGCTTCTCACACCCCCAGAGCTTCACAGCACCCACTCAAAACAAGGCCCTTCGTAACCAACAGCACAGGGCATAATTCATATCAAAGCTATCCAGCCCAGGAAACCTAAAGCTCAGTAAGTGGGTCTGGGCTATATGGAACATACAATAAAGATAGTTCCCACCCCAAACAGTTCAGTTTAGAACCAAAAATAAGTATTTTGAATAGGGCTGCATTTTAAATGTGTGTAAACACAGATTCACTGCTGGGTTTGAGGAGCAAGATTTCAGAAACATTACTTTCAAAGGAGCTGGGTAAGTCACTTTTGGCAGCATTATGAAGAACAATTCTAGGGAAATACAGACAAAACTGTGAACAGTGTCATGACAAAAAGAAGAGCATAAAGAGAACATGGAATAAAGAGAAGCACATGACAAGAAAGCACTTGAATGCTATGTGTAAGAGGAAGTATTACAGATTCCTGTACCCTTTGGGGGGTATTTCAGCCGTAAGAAGAAGTATTAGAGATTCCTGTACCCTTTGGGGGGTATTTCAGCCAGAAACCTTGCTTAGTGAAGAACATCACTGCAGTACTATTAGCCCCCTTTTCACCAAATTAGCTATTGCCTCACTCTTGCTTCACACGCATTACAGAAACAGACCGAGTTAACCCTGGCAGTGCCTGAGCAGCGAACAGGTCACCACTACCAAGCGTCGAGGATGCTGTCCCAGTGCTCCAGCCTGCAACCCAAAAGTACGACACCGCCTGCTAACAACTTGATAAAGGTTACGGGTCTGGGTACACAACTATCAGGAGGTAAGTTAACACGTCCAGCAAGTCAGCTCCACAACGTAAAAGCATCTGTGCAGTCAGGAACAGCACAGCACCTGCCCGACAGTAAATTCACCCCTTATCCACCTGCCTCACGATGACTTGCTTGAGTTCTCACCCCTTGCACAGCCCAGGCTCTGGGCAGATGCTCTCAGGAGTAAACGCACCATGTAGTGCATTTACTATTCATGTCTACGCTCAACAGCAAAATCCAAGCACTGGTATTTCACTTTACTACTCCAAAAAGGTGGGTCTCCACAGAAGTGCTGTGTTCCACAGAAAACATTAAACTGAAGTCAGCATAAATTAGACCAAATCTTGATTTAAGATTTTAGTGTATAATCCCACTCACATCTGGTTTAGCATATTAAATTAACTCTATTCAATTAAAAAAAAAATCAAGTAAGAATTGAAAAAAGTGTAAAAGAATTTTTTTTAATTTGACATTTCAACAGTACGTTATTTATTTTTGTGTTATTCTATTTTTTACAACGTGGAAAAAGAAAGCAGCAGCAGCCAGGAAGGGCTGCCCATCAGAAGTGCTGCACAGGTAAAGAACAAAATGCTTTTACAAGCAGCCCTGGGAGACTTGCATAGGAAACACTGTTGAGTCCAAAGTAACATTCCAGAAAAGCTTCATTTTCATTCAAAAGACTTGCAAGTATTTCATTTGATTTCCACACTTCAGTTCTGAAACTAAGCCAACCACAATATTTATATAGTTAAGAGTCCAAAAACTACACACTGAACAATCACTATTTTTATTCTTCTAATCCTGAAAGCAAATTACTTTAACCTGTGACTGTTACAAGATTGTAATAACATCCTTTTTTTCTGGCGGTGCTTACACACACACACAAAGTGAAGGATGACTTCAAGTAGCACCCTCCAACTACAAACTCTGCACGAACAACCTCAAGACCAGGAAGGAAAGGAACCACACAGATCCTTAGAAAGAAAAGACAGACTGCCCTTGTAGAAACTTCTTTAATTTTTTACTTTTCCATCTTTTGGGGATGTCATTCTTGAATGTTTATTCCTACATTAGGTATTCAAGATTTAAAAGGATTTGTCCAACAGCCTTCATTTTCAAATTGCAAGGAAAGGGTAGTACTGAAAGATTACTTTCATTTCATTGAGATTTATTAAATTTCTGGGAAGTGACACAGACATTTTGTAACCAAGTATGAAAGAATGTATGGTATTATCCAACTACAGCAAGTTTGGGGCAGGGCTGGGAGAGAAATCAGTCTGATCAAAAGGACAGGAACCCAGTGTTTTCCAGCAAATTATAACAGACTTCACCAGTAAAGCTTGAGAAGCAACTGCTGCTTTTCATATACAGAAGAGTTCAAAAGAAAAAGCTGTTTAAGTCAAATGCAGCAGTGAAACCATTTAAGTAAAAAAGAATATGCATGAGCTTCACATCATAACCTAGATATTTCAGTATCACAGCCGTAACTGAAACACAGCCTGCTCCAAGCTACCAAATTCTTTGATATCAACTTGAATCAGAAGACCTGTGAAAAAGATGAAGATTGAAAAAGACCAACAACAACAACAAGTCCAAGAGGAGGTATACACCCCCATGAAATTGATACGGAAAACTTGGAAACACACACAGCTCACAGATGCTGGAACAGTAACAGAACATGAAGAGAAGAGTAATAATTAAAAAAAGAAAAAAGTCAGATACTGTTGGCTTTGTTATTTAGACAACTTAACCTGAAAAGCTACTCAAAATCCTTACTATGCTCACATCTAAAGACCATCCTTCTTGTAAAACTATAGCTAAAAAGGCACGGGACGGAGCAGGACAGGTGATCCAACCTACCCTCATGCGAAGAAACAGCAACAGGCTGCAAGCCAAGGCGCTGCAGAAGCTGGGATTCCCATGAGAACATTATTAAGAGAATAAATAGCAGCTGGGATTTATACAAAGGCAATCTTTAAAAGATTAAACTATGTTTATTATTAACAGGACCTTAGACCAGCCTACAAGCAAGAGTCCAAAACTGCACAAAGCACTGTGTGCCTGGGTTATCTCGACCAGAGCACTGCTGGTGTGAGGCAGGATATCTCTGTCTTGGAACACCTGGCCATAAAGTATGGGAATGATGGATGGGAAAGTGCTGTAGTGTGTGAACATCCTGAACGGCTGCATAGTCGGGTCCTTCTCTGTAGCTATAACAGCTGAGGTAGGAATTAAAAACTTCACTTGGCATTCATCTGCTGAGTGGGTTTCTTGTTCTCAGCTCACCGCACCGTCGTACAAGCAGACACTGGTCTGACAGATATCTGATATTTATTCTGACAAGCAAAAAAGGAAAAGAAAAATCAAAGAAAGCAGCTAAGCATCTTTCAGGGGCTTTATTTCAGCTCACAAAGTGACATAGATGAAGCTTTACTACTTAATTAGCAAACGAACCCCACAATCCTAAACTATCGTGTCACAGAGCACAAACTCCTCAAGCAGAGGTCTGATACTGACCGACGGATTTGCAGCTATCACTGCAGCTCTACACTCTCCTTTTTCTCAACCAACATGCGCACATTCGCAGAATAGATTTTGCTCTGTCCTCTGCCCGACACATCCAAGCACACGTTAGCAAGTTTATGAGCCTGCTGTGCGCTTGCTTTCAATTCTACTCTACTTTTATTCCACGTTTCTCAGTCTGCGTTAAGACCGGTTAGTAAAGTAATGTTAAACTTCTCCTTCACCAGACAATCTGCCTGTGCAGCACAGCACAGCACACGCACCGCACCCAACTACGTTACCCAGCAGGGTGGTCAACAGGTTTAGTGGATGTGCCATCGCTCGTGGGACGTGTGCCCATCCTAAATGGGACTGGCACCAAGTACATTTATAACCACCCTTGCTTGAAAAGAATAATAATTAAAAAAATGAGAAGGAAAGCTCCTCAATTTTCACAACTGAGTTATGCTGCAATTACTACCATGGAAGACTGTTGCTTAAAGAATTAAAAGCTCTTACTCTCATTTTTCTCCCTTACAGCCTTAAAAAAATATTTCTCATAACATTACTGCTTTATAAATCCGTAATTATGACTGAAGCAGATCAACTGTAAATAAGGGTTTAGTCCTAACTTTACCAAAACACGGAAATGTAAGATGCTTTAACTAGAAGAAAACCTATAAAATTAACTACGCATTATTATGTCTGACTTTAGTTCTCAGTCTCGCCAAAATCTCAAGGAAGGAGAAATAGATTTGGCCCTTCAAAGATCTTAAAGGGTTTCAATCTAGTCTTCTTCCTTCATTAATCTGCCACCTGAATTAGGCCAAAAAAGGCTCAGCAGACAAGCTCTAATCTGCAACTACAACATGAACAAAACCAAAGC